TCATGCCCTTATTGCATAGAGAACACTAAGGCTTTTCAACTTCAATATGGGAGGAAAACATCATTTTTTGATTGTCATCGTCAATTTTTACCTCCTAAACATCCATTTCGTAGAGATAAAAAGAATTTTTATATCAATAGAGTTGAAAAAAGCCGTACCCCCCCCAAAGACTAGATGGTACTTTGATGGAAGAAAGGGTTAATCAGCTTCCTGACATAGTCTTTGGCCAGCTACTTCGTAAACATTCAATTGCAAATGGGTATGCATCCAACATGGCACAATGTGTTAACATGCAGGAACTTCGATTGTTTGGGATGAAAAGTCATGATTGTCATGTATTCATGTAGCGTCTCTTGCCAATTGCTTTCCGTGATTTCCCCATAGATGAAGTTTGGGGTCCCTTAACTGAGATGAGTAACTTTTTTAGAGTTTTAACTGCTCCAATTATTCAAGTTAGTAACATGGAGATGTGAGAGGAAAAAATTGTTGAGACCATTTGCAAGTTAGAGAAAGTATTCCCGCTAGCATTCTTTGACTCGATGGAGCATTTGGCTATCCATCTACCATATGAGGCAAAAGTTGGAGGACTTGTCCAATTTCGTTAGATATATCCTTTTGAAAGATATATTTCTTCTAATATATCTTTTCTTCTAATATATCTTTGCATCATAATAACATTCATGAGCATATTTAATAATTTAATGTTATTAATTAATTTTTTTATTTGTATAACAGAAAAATGCATGACCTTAAGAAAATAGTGTTGAACAAAAATCATGTTGAAGCTTCAATTTGCGAGTCTAATATTCTTTCATAAATTTCCTTCTTTTGCTCGCATTATTTTGGATCCAACATAGAGACAAGATTGAATCGTCAACCAAGAAACATTTTCGGTGTGAATGATGATATGGATAATTGTTTGTTTGTCTTTAAACATCGAGGTCAACCACTAGTGGAGAAATGCGTATGCGTGCATTGTCACCAAAAGAATTAAAGGCAGCAAAACTTTATGTTTTGCTTAATTGTGAAGAAGCTAATCCATGAATTGCGTATGCTCTTTAGTTCTAACTTTCATTTGTTTAAGTTACTAATATGTTTAGATTGTTTACTCCAACTTCTTCATGTAGGCTTTTTGATTATTAAGTATGTTCTGGTTTATCAGAGGATCAAATTCAAATCAAACGACAACTTGAATTTATTCCTTGGTTTAAGACAACGGTAAGTAATTTATTTTAATAATCTTTATTAATAAGATCTCAATTTTTATATATTTTAGGATTAAATATTAAATATTTTTATAACAAATCTAGGTGTGTAGTGGAAGATATAAGGTTGATTCTCGCCTTTTGCCTTTAGTAACTGGCCCAGTCAATAACGTTATGGTATACAATGGTTATTGGGTTAATGGATTTCGGTTTCATACTATCGCATATGGATAAAATAAAAAGACTATGAATAACGGTGTTTGTGTGAAGGGAACCACTTTCAATGATGAGTCAGATTATTATGGGAGTTTGAAGGAAATAATTGAGCTTCAGTATTTTGACTCATATGTTCATCAATCAGTGATTTTGTTCAAGTGTGAGTGGTATGATATCAACAAA